GTATATCAAAAAGGAGTCTACTTTACTGGCATAAAAGTGTTCAACAATCTGCCACAAAGTATTAAAAACTTGGGCAATGATACTAAAAAGTTTAAATCAGAGTTAAAGAATTATCTACATGCTCATTCCTTCTACTCTTTAGATGAATACTTCAATGTAAATAGAGAATGATGTAAAATTAAGTTATATTAATTTTTAAGCTAAAATTGCCTGTACTTATGTATGTAACATTTTGACTTGTTCTGTATCCAAAGGTATTAACCTACTTAGGATTTATAGAATGTAAATAAATTCAATTCAATTCAATTCATGTAGACCTTATGAACATTTGGAGTGCCTCATACCCTTTTTATAACATAACAGGAAGTGTGTGTTTTGCTGTATTGTGTAAAGCTCCTGTAATGCTTTGAATATGGGGTTGTGTGTGTCGTTATATGTGTCATTCATGTGTAAGTTCTCTTTACTGATTCTGTAAATGTGATACCTTTCTAATATTCCAGCAAGACTGTGTGTTGCCTAATTTACATGTCAATGTTCAAAATTTTCTGAATCTTTAGTAATCATGAAAATGAACTGGGAAATCTCTTCCAATCTTTTGGCATTCTTATTCCCTTTACCTCACACTGGCGATTAAGGCAACTAACTATATAATTCCTTATTGAAAAATGTTCCTAGATAAGTGAATTTTGGTTTACAAAATATTGTAACAATTTTAACCTAATCCTTTAAGCAGAAGAACATGATTAAGTCAAGGGTGAAACTACAGTCATTACATCCCAACTATGAATGGGCAACTGAAATAAAAGGTCACGCTATGGAAATAAAAATGATAGCTGCTTTAACCTATTGAATTTCAGTTACCTTGCATTTTGTACTATGTAAACCTTTCATAAACTTAATTTATACTTAAATGTATGACTTTCACAAGCAAAAACAAATATTTTCTGTTGATATAGTAATACTGTTTTCTGAACCTTTAATTATTACAATGTGGTTAACCAACCTGTGCTGCATGTGCAAAATGCTCTGTGTAGCTTAAGTATTGCTTTAAGATGACATCTGATTTCCTTGACTCCTCCTTGAAGTCATACAGGGCATCCAACTTGTACACACATCGCTGACATATTGATGGTGGCAGGAGATCCTTGTCAGAAACCTATTGGACACAGTTATAAATTCAGTAATAATTTAATACCAGATTACATCTAAAGTAGAACACGAAAAGGTTATACTCCACGTATCAGAAGCTGACAGAGATAAATATGCGGATGACTTCATAATCTAAACTTCCTTCGATACATTATACTAGTTGCAGTACAAACATTTTTATTTAGAAGCAGAGCATAAGACACTCGACTTCTCAAGCCAATTAAATATTCAACTGCGCCTTTGGCTTGTAAGTAGATCTGGCAGTAGTGACCCAGCAACACCCTCCCTTTTAAAAATTGCTTTGTATGACACAGCGGGAAGGTGTTACTATACAAAACAAAAATTAATAACAAAATTAAATTCTAGTGAACATACCAATATTGACAGACACGTCATTATTTTAAGTGGAAAGTTACGCTGAGTTCCTTCTTTGTCGAAAATAGACGATTTCACACCATCACACGATAAACAAAGACGACAAAGTTCGTAAAATTTCGGCGGTATGCTACACATATTGAGTATTATTGTCTTGCAAATATATAAAATCTTCAATCTTTATGCAACGATTACTACTTCTAACACAAGAAACGCATTGTCCAATGCTGTTGACAACTCTTACAAACTTTTTTGTCGCCAACAACACTCATTGTCGAATAACAGGAATACAACATCTCACGTCACTCCGACTTAGAATGTTCAGATGCATGTTCAATTATAGACGAGATACGGAGACGCAGGGCTGCAACCAGGAATTAGTAACCAATAACCATGATAACACTCCAATTTCCATACCTCTATAATGTTATATTTCAGTAATCATAGCTCTATGGTGACGTCAATTTCAAGCGGGTGAATTAAATATTTGATTATTTTTTTGTTCCGAACGAATTTATGTCATTACCTACATGTTCCAAAGGAAGAGGGCTCCAATCATTAATACTCATATGCATCGATCTTTTTATTTTTCTCATAAGTATTCTTTTAATGCTCTAAACATTAGCATTACCATTATCACACGGAATAATATACTCTGTATTGCGACTGGTTACGGGCTTGAAAGGCCGAGAAACCGGAGTTCGAACCGCAGTATAGACAAGATTATTTCCCCCTTCACGTCGTCCAGACCGGTTTTCAGGCCCACCCAACCTCCTGTTCAATGGTTACGGGGAAGGGGGGGGGATCTTTTCCCTGGGGTAAAGGGCAGGGGCGTGAAACTGACCACTCACCTCCAACTAGTACCGAAGTCAAGAACACGTGGATCTATACTTCCTCATAGCGCAGTGCTTAATTGGCGAACCACAGGCACTTTACTCACAAAATATTGTTTTATTGCAGTGTTAGTCTCGGCGTATTTGCCTTGGGGGCTATTCCAATGCGGAGATTCTGTGTACCACACTTTTGCAATAAGAAAATTTCACTTGACATCACGAACATACATCTATAGGTACACATATCGTATACATGAACGTGGTGGCTGAAAATCGTAATGCAAAACTTACACGGTAGAAGACATCATATGGGGAAGAAAATGAAAAGAAACAGTTGACCGATTTATCACCCTTTCAGAGATATTATTTTTTGTACCTTCATGTGGTGAAACCTTCAGAACGCCATAAGACACGTCTCATATCATTCACTTACGGTTCGTAATACTTTTGGCTGCAAGCTAATCATGACAGCAAAACAATGTGATATGATTTGGCGATGAGGAATATGCCGATATGTATTTCGTGTACGGATTTTGCGATGGAAATCCCAAAGCTGTATCAACCAAATGTTTTCAACGGTAGATCAATACCGCAAACTGAGGGAAAATGGTGCATTCATGCTGAAGTCGTAAGCACAAGCTGACCAAGGTAGATGCAATATGCAGACTGAAAGGGGAAATGTTAAATGCTGTAAATGTTCATCCATAGACTAGCAGAAATATCTTCAAATGCAGTATGCCGTGCACTTCCTTTGGAGCAGTGTGCTCCTTTTGTGCACAACTCTTACAAGAACTACTGCAATTGAACAGAAATTTTAGCCACCACTTCTGTTAATGATTTCTATTGAAAATTTAGATAAATCTGAACTTCTGTGACGTGTACTGTGGACTGACGAGAATGCAACCACAATCTACATTGACAGTCACTGAAAGGCTTCATGTCTCTCGGTGTTCCATATTTCAACAAAGATTTAAAGTCAATGAAAACTTGTAACTTCTATCTCGATCGAATCCAATATGATGTTTCTTGAAGGAATTTGTCTTTTTTTTTTTTTTTTTAAGAATATATCCCTTAATATTTTCGACGACATGTGGCCTCCTCACGTGGCACCTCTCTTCACTTTTAGCGCCAAAGGCTTAAGGGCTGAACAGTCAGCTTTTTTCGTTATAATACAGATTCCATTTCATGTATTTCGGAACTTGTGCTCTCCTTTGATGTAGCTTTTATGTCGCTTTGGAGTCAAATAAGGTTTGTGGTAGAAATCATCATTATTGGTTGCAGCCTACCTGGTTTTCTGGGAACCTCCTGCTCCACAGTGTGTTCTGTGCACCAGCAGTCTCGGTATCCGCGCCAGTGTTTCTGAGAGGTGGGAAAAAGTTGCGAGTTAGCACTGCTTTTGGAGGCAGTTTTACACTGTAGATGACGAGAATGGTTTGGTCGACTTCTTGGCTCTCTGCGAGGTATTATTAGAGATATGTCTCTTGCATCTCTTTACCTCCTGGAAGTCGTCCTTGGCCATTGATTCCACTGGAGTTTCGTTCACTTCGTCCTCCCTATGCACTTACTTTTTGGATGGCCTTCAGTTCATTCGGTGTCACCATGTACATGTCGTAAAGAACACCACAAAGCGGCTTCCCATCTAGACCCTTGCAAAAGTTTGATGTCTCCTTTACGCTATTTACAACAGCGGTCCACTCAGAGCTTTCCCCACTTCAGCCTGTTTGAATCCGGAAAAGTTCTGAATGCTTCTGAGTACTGTATGTACTTGTTGCACTACAGAAGCTGCCTCTGGATATTTAGTCATGATGACATGACATTCAGATATTATCGATGCTGGCTTCTGTGTTCATTATTTCCGGAAGCCCGGTACTGGGACGTCCGCCATCTTTGTGTGCACTCAATTTCGCCTTTTCTATTCATGTTTCGCACAGCACTGTGCACATTTGCAGTAGATCGGCAAACTTCATCGACATCACCTCTGCTAAATGGGCGTTGGCCGCGAACACAAAACATAAAGCGAAGGCCGTAAAATCCGCCCTGTTGATCACATATTTCATTCAAACCACTAAGTCCAATCAAGACCTAGTGTAAAGGGTTAACGTGATCTTCCCTGTTCTAACTCTCACTCGCTGAATGCTTCGCCTGACTGAGTCTGAATCTGAGTCTTATGGAAGGACCGACGGTCAGTCGGCCAGTCTGTCTTGGTATAAAGCACTAATCTTGGGTTTACGACCAGATTTTTATTACTGTCAGACAGTTGTGGGTTTGTTGGTGTGGGGGTCTCTCTCAGACAAGAAGATGGGTCTGTCATTACTTCCCGTTCGACCCCGCCCCCACACAGGATTCACCCCTGAGTCAAAAACAAAGTCACACTGCGACTGACGGTCATTCAGTCAGTAAGTCTTGGTGTCGAGCACCATCTGGCGCTCGTGACAAGATATTTATTACTGTTTGAAAGTTATGATCTGGATTTTGTGGGGCACCCTCTCTGACGAGAGGAAGGGTCTGTCTTTTGTATTTGCTGCTGGTTCTTGCGAGTGCAGTCTTTCTCGGGTCCGAGTCCCTTGGGACTTGAGACAAAATTTACTGTCTTAGATTTGAGACTTCCCCTTTCGTTGCCTCCTACGACTCGAGGGGTCAAGGTGGAGGTATTCGATCCTGCCTCCGCACGGGAGTTCAGCTGGCCACCTAATATAGAGTCCGTGCGAACCACATAGAAAACACTGTTTCCATAGTTTCTTTATTGTCATGTATTTATTACCTAACATTTCCTGCAATGTAGCGAGCGTATTCGTTTGTGCGGGAATGTGATTACAGAGCAATAAGTCTAGCAACGGCCATTTCTTCTGGTTCTGCTATCCCTGCTTTCAGCAGGCATGTCTCAATATTTCCAAATTGGCACTTGGAAACAAGAGTATGCATGGTGCAAGCGACGGTAATTTAATTAAAAGTACCAAGTTTTGCCACATAAAACTGCTTGATTGCCAGGAATACAATATTGCCGTATTCCAATATTCATATACTACCATGGACATTTCCTGTCGGAAAGACATCAGATACCTCGATAAATAGATGCAGTATGTAAACACACTTGCTATAGGGTACTTAAGAGGAATTGATTCTGATACCAACAATAATACTGCAGTTGTAAAATTTATGAAGACACTATCTGTAAGAAAACATTAAGCGATACATCCCCCAAAAGAAGGAGAATTCGTTCTTTCAAGTAAGTCAGGGTACTGGATTACTTTGTGGCTACTTCTTCCATATATCATTCAAACGGTGGCTCTAATTATTTGTTGAAATCAAGTGTCGAGTAGCATCAGGTTTCTGCAGTGTCCACTGAAGTATGTTCTGGAGCTACACTTCTTACGAATGTTGCCTGTTCAGGCCACAGTAAACTATACATAGAGTTAGGTTCATCTATAATTTTGTGTAAAAGCCATTTACAGAAATAATGACGATAATTCTGGCTCCGTGGCTATGGCCTTTGTCAAAGTTGTGCATTACAAGGACGCAACTGCGCCTTATGCAGTATACTGCAAACTGCACGCCAAGAGAGGCTTCTTTCATATGTGTCCTGACATGTACTGGTAGTGGGGGCATGAATGTAGTCATCTCCCTTAGACTGTGGCATACCGTTGCAAAATGTCTGTTGGGTTACCTCTGATCTGAATATTGAAAATGCAACTCTGGAATTTATATCGCACCATACACAGAATTCATAAAAGCATACTCCGCATTAATAAATATTACAGTCTCCTCAATCTCGTCGGAAGTAATGTGAGTCTTAAGTGAATGCACTATGCACTCCAGTTTGTGACCTTATGAAGGGTTCAATACACGAACATACCAAAAATATCAAGACTAACGTTTGTAACGCCCAAACTCTGAAATGGTGGCAAATCAGAAATACGTTTTTTCTTCAATTTTTTGCATTTTCTATCTCAAGTTATCTGTCAAACCACCCAAGTTCCACCACAGGATTTTGAATTACCTTATGTGTGTACATATTTCTTAACTGAATGGTACATATATTACACTTTCTAGCTCCTACCCTGACTTTCTCTATAGGCCTATTGATTATCAGTGCAACAATATCAACATTCGGGGAAAAAATATTTTTAACACTTTGCCGTTTTGAGGAACTTCCTATTGGTTACCCTTTTGCAGGGTCTTCCTTAAAAGTTGACCCATGTCCGAATTTGGAAGCCTCACCTTCCTGGTTTTCAATGTTCACCTTACTATATCATAGGCGGTATAGCAGGCGAGGTTCCTGAGCCGAGGCAGAATAGCATCAAGTACACACACCAAACACTGTTCTACCCCTATTGTTAGTATAGACTGATCACCAGGGGTGAAGTTGCCTAGAAGAATAAATGGAGGTGGTAGGTATAAAATTAAACTATTCAGCTCAGCATGGTTTATTGGTAATGTAGGGAGAAGACCGTGAACTGTAAAT